TCTAAACAGACCCCTGACATTTCCCTTTTGAAATCGAAAAATCATTGAGGACACAGAATCCTCAATGTCTCTTTCTGCAGCCTCAGCACTCAGTGAATGGGAAGCACGCAGTACATAGGCTTCCCATTCATTCACAAACTGCTGATAGTAAGATATTTACTATCAAGCAGATTCTCAATGGAGAAAAGCCTCTGTACTGAGTGCTTCTCCCCATTGAGAAATTCATGAATGAACAGGAGGTGATGCAAATCACAGCCTGTTCAGTCATAACTGGGGACACATACCCTGTTTCCCCGAAAATAAGACCTACCCCGAAAGTAAGACCTAGCACTATTTTTCAAGATTCCTGTAATATAAGACCTACCCTGAAAATAACACCTAGTTTGGTGGTAGCATGTGAGGGGGGAACTTGAAGCGCAGGAGAGATGGTATCAGCCTGCAGGGACATACTGTATTAAGGGGATGACAGGAGACTCCTCCGGCCAGCGCAGAGACAGGGAGCACTTCAGTACCATACTTCACCAATTGCTGTCCCCCTGAAGGCACTGCTTAATGTAATGGTACTGTACTGTATTGTGTACCGGTAAATGGTACAATACTTTACTGCGCTGATGGGCAGATCGTATGTTTTTTAAATTACTTTACAACCATCGCAAGACTAAGTGTATGGCCACCTTATCACAGCACTGAAAGCTAAAAAAAAAGGCAGGGAAATAAAGGGCTATATACAGGCTAGTCATCAAGTGATTAAAGTCAGTCAATTACTAATTTACTCTTTATAAGGACACCCTTCATGAGGAAAACACAGGGGTGTTGCTGTAGTCATCTAAAAAAAAACAAGTTGCCTGGTTGTCAAGTAGGCCCTCCTGCTTCAATGCTTTGAGTCACTGACCCTAAAAATGTATGCAATTAAGGCCTGGGGAGTTTGTGTGTTAGTCCTCAGGTTAGGTTAGATCAACTAAGCAGCCAGGCAACTAGCATTTTCAGTAGGAGAACTGAACAATAGTAGCAGCAAATATATATCACCTACTTTTATATATACCACCAGCCAAATTATTTGAAGGTCGTGTGTCTCACTCTACATATACTCCAGAAATTCAAAGATGGAACTAACATGGGATACCCCATAAGACCTCATTCTCCAGAACAAAATGGTCTGTAATTATCATTCATAGTAGTAATTATTAAAAGCGTACTAACTCTAAACTTTCCAGAAAAAGGAGAGAAAACTCAGGAAAATCTTACATGCCTAAAAACAATGGAGAACCCTCATCTCTATTCCCTTTTTTGTCTACTTCATTTTATTGGGAGATCACCATATACAGGTATTACATATACCATCTGCAAATAGAGAAGAATATATATTCATTTCCTTATATGCTCTATGAACATATAATGAAATTGATGTATTGTAGAAATTGGACAATTCCATACATATACAACATTCAGTATAATGTGCATAAAACAATGATGCGAGTTGCATATTCTTATTTTGTCACTAGATGTCAGTATCTCCTAAGTAAATAGTGCAAATAGAAAACATTGTGACATTTTCCATAGTCAGCATCGAGCAACGCAAATTACCAAATCATACACATCTAGGGATTCCAGTGTCAAAATGTATACCATAGAAATCCTCTTTTTTAGTTTTTGGTATAGTGGTGATGGGTTAGAAGAATCCCTGTCAGGTTCTTGTTGCTGTCAGCATATTCATCAGGCATTTCACTTTTTTTTTTCCTGATCCCAAATGTCACCGGGTCTGAATCTGAGAGAAAATCCAAAATTTTAAGTTGTGGGCTGGTTCACACCACAAAGTCCACGTTCCAGTATGTTCGACCTCTGAAACGCACTGGACCGCAAGCCGGCCGGCTCCCTGCGTTCAGGGGCGGAAGGGGGCATGGCGGTGCATTGAAGTCAATGGCACCACAGCAGCTATGCCCCCCTGCCCGTAGTGTGATCGCCTGCACCCAGAACGCAGTCACATTAGTGCCTGCGTTCCGGTCCAGTGCGATCAGCAAAATTACTGCAAGAACTATTTTTGCAGATCGCAGTGGACCAGAACGCAGACACTAATGTGCCTGCGTTCCGGGTGCGGGCAATCACACTGCGGGCGGGGAGCGTGGCTGCGGTGCCATCGATGTCAATGCACCGCCACGCCCCCTCTCGCCCCTGAGCACAGGGAGCCAGCTGGCTTGCGTTCCAGAGGCCGAACGCACTGGAACGTGGAGTTTGTGGTGTGAACCGGCCCTGTAACCAGGAGCAGTGAAATCTTTTAATTGATACACCTGTTTGGGTGACATCTGTCTTGGTTTCCTCTCACTTCCTGTTGATTCTACAGGACAAAAATTAAAGTGAGAATCTCCACAGTGGGAACCAGATGGGCAAAAAAAACCTGACAGCGTTTTTACCATTCCCTACACTATCTAAAATGAGAAAAAAGTATTGGCTTTAGAAATACTTTGATGCAATGTACCTTAATACATGACCTAATGCACATCACAATGCATTATAAGAAGGCATAGATCCCAGCTGTCTCTCATTTGGAGGGACTGAATATAAATCCCTCTGTCCCTCTTTTCCACTCAGTTGTCATGATTTATAGATTGCCTAATAGAGGTACAATGATTTAGAGGTTGAGTGAAAGACTTAAAGTATATTTCCACTTTTGCGGCCAAATTGAGATAACATCTATTTTATATTTGTTACATGTTCCCACTCACATAGCAAAAGCTAAAAAAAGATTTGAAAAATGTTTCTTGCAGTTTATATTGCTTTTACTTGGGCTAGGGTTTCTTGGCTTCTTAAAGGTTACAATTTCTACTTGGCTTCTCTTTCTTTGTAATGTTAGGAGGGGCCGTGAGAGATATGGGGTTAAAGGATTACAACCTTGGCTTCTTTATTGTATGTTAATGAAGTTAATGAGAGAAACACAATCCTCAAATTTCAGTCCTCTGTCTTTCTGTAAGGACAGATCACTATGAAAGTGCTGAGAAAAACCTGAAATCAGCCATGTTTTAAACAATTATTTTTCAGTATGCTGTGTGAATAGAAACACATACACATACAGAGGGGTTTTCTCGAATTTGACTGCAAGCATGGAAATACACTTTAAAGTGTACCTTTCACTAAAAATCACCTCAGCATGCAGCTCTGCTGAAATCCTCTTACATTCATACTTACATACATTACTTTTTTACATTGTTTTTGCCATTTTATTTTTATTTTCAATAAACTCCTTTTATTTTTGAACCTGCACTTTAAGTTTCTGTCTGGTTTCTGGTTTCTGTCTGGTTTCTTGGTACCCAAGTAGTTACATAGGCTGAAAACAGACAAATGTCTATTGAGTTCAACCAAAAGACAAAGATAGATAAATTATAAACCTTGCATTCTCAGAACCTTAAAGCTGACCTTTAACCCCTTTGACAAACAAAATCACATCAGCATACAGCTCTGCATAGTGATATGAAATCATCTTACATTCATTAGCTAAACAATGATATTTTTTCTTGTTTTCTACTTCCTGGTCCTCTTTGGTACAATGTAATCGAGACTAAGTGTTGCATCCTGGGAAGGTTACAACAACATAACATTGCTGGGAAAGCTCATCTGTAATCTCACGCGATTTCAGGGAAAGGCATTTTCCTCCCCTGAGATGATGTGCATGGTCACATGTCCTAGTCACATGTGCCAGAAATCCAGGAAGTAAAGGGAGATATAGTAATCTGCCCTTGGAAAACATGGCCACAGTGAGAAGACTGGGAAGAAAACAGAAATCAGGTATGCAAAGAATACAAAGCCGCAATTATCTAGAAGTATGTGTTTGTAGATTGTCATTACTAAACATTTCTAAAGGTGCCTTTGATGTTGTTTCAAAGATATGGGTAAAGTTCCTCTTTATTGTAAAGCGCTGCACAAACTGTTGTCGCTAAATAAATCCTGTATAATATTAATAATGAGTTATATTTGTGAGCTTGAAAAGCCAGTATAAAATAAATGGAGTGATGAAATAAGCCCTCATGGGTTTGTCCAATCGTTTTTTGCATTGCAGTTCATCACAGTCTGCGGAATCGGGGGTGTGGCAGGGGTGTGCCCTTTGCCTCCATACTTTGTGCTTGGGGGGGGGGCTTAAATTCTAGCACCTCTATGTTATATTGATTACCATGATGAAGTTGGGTACATCTTTTTGTACGGATTTAATTGCACAGTCTGCGCATGTACAAGATTACAGCAACACAATCCTGTACACAGGAAAATCCTTATGTTTTGAAAGTGAGAGTTATCTTGGTTCTTAGCTTTTCTTCCCAACAGGGCATCAAAAACAAGACACAGATGCAGCTAAGAAACTCTTCTTACAGCCTCTTATTGCGGAATATTATGTATTGTCTGTAGTTCTCCTTTAAGGACTTGAATTCCTAATCATCTGGAAAAACAGAGCTCAGCAGTACAAAGTGTCCTGGTCCGCATTGATAAAGCCCTTTGTTCAGAACGGTCTGGGGCAGCAGCGGTTAAGACGATGGAGTGCCCAGATGGTCGCAGTGCTGGCTGCGATCACGCTCCTCCCTGATTGGTCTTTCTTCTGCGTGGTGACACCTGTAAGATGAGATGTCAGACTGTGGAGTTCAGCTGCTGCCTCAATGCGTACAGCCCTGATCCTGGCTCTTATTTTCACCTGCATGACCATGTCTGGCCTAGCCAAAGCCTCAAACACTCTGAAATCTGTAGATTATGAAGTCTTTGGCCGTGTTCAGGGTAGGTGGGAATTTTTATGCTTCATTTTTATTCGATGAAGGAACAGGCTGACATTCACAGCTATCCTGTGAGCAGAACAGATTAGGAAAAGTCAGCCAATGTCTAAACATAGCTTGTTGTAGGGAGCTATACAGGCTGAATACAGAACAGTAGAACATAATTGGTGCTGTGGAAGTGTGCATATTCTTATTGAAAATAGTCCATCCTAGCAGAAATGTAAAGCTAAAGTCCAGGGACATATAAAAGACACACTATATTGCAGCTCTCTATTCATTAATAGTTCCTTAAATGTGTTATTTGAAATGCAAGCAGTGTAAGTACCTGAATTTGACTTGTTGTCAGTCTCTTGCAGTCCATAAAGCAGAGCCTTGGAGAGGTAGAGGGAGAAACAGCACAAGGAACCAATCGGTTTGGCTGCAGTGCAAGAAGTGTGCTGATAGTAGGAGAGGGCAGGAAGAGAGAAAGAGTTCATCAACCTGCTGCTTCTCCTTTAACTCTCCAATTACAGGGTGGTTCTGGAGGTGCGGTGTGTTGCGGCGGATGACAGACTCTAAGGGCTCATTCTCACGTGAATCGGCAGGCAGTACAGCTCCGTGCTGTGTGCACGGCCGTATCGGGCAGCTCCCGGGAAGGACAGGTGCTGCGTGTGATTAGTACGCAGCCTCTGTCCTTCTCTATGGGACTACGAGGCCGTACGCCGCCCTACGCTCACCCGCCCTGCATGGATGGATCCTGTCTGCGTCTGAGCCGGGACACACGCACCCGTACGGACCTGCACTTGAATCCTTCCTGGGAGCTGCTCGATACGGCCGTGCACGTAGCACGGAGCTGTACGTGCCGGCCGATTCCCGTGTGAATGAGCTCTAAGTGTTACTGAACTGCAGCAGAGCAGACCAATTTCCTCCCCTACCAGGCAGAACTGTGCTTTGTGGTAGAGCTGTGTAAATCTCAGGACAGGATGAAGAAAAAAACAACTCAGTTGGTAAAGTAAAGCAGCTCTCTTATATGTATTTCAACTGCATATTTAGCTGTTTTCCTGGAGTTAAAGATACACTCTGGGAGAAAATGTTATCAACCCTTGTAGTGGGGCTATCCCAGCACTGCAAGGGTTAACTACTTGTTTTCCTCTAGGGACTAAAATAACAAAGTTATACTCACCTGAACCTCAAATCCGGGCCAGCTGTCACAGTGCTACCTCCAGCCTGGTTATGTCCCTCGGCATTCTCACGTCCAATACATAGTATATAGAATGGGATGACTCACAGATCCTTAGACCGCTGGAACGGAGGGCGAGAGATGTTGGAAGGACCGGTCTAAGAGCCAGCGGGCTCCAAGGATCAGGTGAGTATAACTTTACTTTTTTTTTTATAAATTCTTTATTTAGGTCAGGTTAACAGATTATTTGTTGTATACAGAAAAACGGAAACTGTGCCTGTGGGGACTCGCAGGTCCGGGCGCTTATGGTATACATGCATCAAAGCATCATCAAGAAGGTAGCATACATGGTATATTGAAGCATGAGAGAACCCCATTGGCATCAATGCAACGCATTTGAGGGGAGGGTATCCTCTCGCGACCCCGGCCTGAGTGTGGGGGGTACAGTCATGGGATGTTGCTGAAGTGTATAACTTTACTTTAGTCCCTAGTACGGGGGTAGCACTGCAAGGGTTGATATGGTTAATAAAACATTTCCCCAGTGTTTTTTATGCTTTAAAGGAAATACTCTGTAACAAAGAAAAAACTAAGGTGTTAAAGTATCATCTAGCAATGTTTTTTGAGCCTAAGCAGTACCCTGAAACATGTTCATTGTATCTGGAATCCTCCTTAGAAAAAAGCAGAGTAATTCCTGATAAGTGAGAATGCCCAGACACTCCTATGCCTACAGTCCCATAGCTGGATATCTGCAGTGTGAGATCATCTAAGGCAATGCTGCTAGTGTCAGGAGATTTGGGAGAAATTTGGTGATGTCACTACTGAGCTGCTCACTGTTCTCATTGCTGAATATGAGGTTGTAAAATTGCCTCTCCACACAGAGACACAGCGCAGAACAAGGCATGATAAACCAATAAGCTGAAGGGAGACTGCAGCCAAAATTGGTGCCAAGTCCCTTGCCCTCTGATCCTTTTTTTCATTGTGAGTAGGAAAGGGTAAAGCCCCTATAAGGTTATTTGTTGCTGTCCGTGTCCCACTGGGAAGAGTTCCCATCACTTCCTGTTCTGGGGAAAAAAACTGGAAATATGAAGAAAACCCGCTAATGTAAACAAAAATGTTTATCTTAGAGAGTTTTCACAGGGACAGGTGTCCCCATTGGAAGATTTTCACGCCTAGACAAAAAAGAGGTGTAACCTTCCTAACAGGGTCACAGACAGAAATACAAACTTCCCTTCTCTAACCCAAAAAACCCCCAAAATGTTACCTTTACATACACTTAAAATGTATGCAAATGTCATCCTAAAGAAATCCAGTGTTTGCATGAGATCTTTGATGGGCTCTGACAGTGATGCCAGGAGACAGATTGTAATGAATTATGTAAAGTATACCATCTCTCTGACAATTCGCTTATCTTTGGCCTTTTGCCTTACTACAGGTACTCTTTCATTTTCTTTAGCTCTCTTCAAATGTCCTTACATAAAGATGAAAATTGAAAACGACTTATTTTCATCTGCCTGGTGTTTGCCAATAAAGCACTTTTACTTAACCTCTGTCCAACGTATCCCGGCCAGACAATCCATTAATATTCCGGGTGGGGAATATTATAAAATAATATTATTATTAAACAGAAGTGAGAACGGGGAATCAATACAGGAAATGAACTCATTGCAAGCTTCTAGAATCCCACAGAACATCTGTAACTGTCCGATTTGTGGATAGTGTTTTCTAGGTGGGCTCCATTCATTACTTCTGTCTTATTCACATTCTGTATACTAAACTATAAGGTTTTATAATCAAGTGATTTATTAGGTTGTCCTGTTAATAATTAGAGAACATCTGTCACCAATCTTTGTCATGTAAATAATCATTTCTATTATGTTTTAAATGTTCAGTCTGTTTGTACTGACTTTTGTTTTAAAACTGAACTTTGGGCAACAATAAAATACAGATAACGGAGCTGCTTTACCTGCCAAAAAAATGATATTTCTGTCCATGCAGTCCTGCAATTTACAAGGCTCTGCCACACAACTCGGCCTGGTTTTTCTTTAGGGCAGATAACGCTTTTTAAAAAATCTTTCTGATGTATGGCTGAAAGCAGCCGTACTGAGCCGGAGTGAATAGCCGAATGCCGTTCGGCTCTGTTCAGTTCGGCTTGGTTATTCACCTGGCAGCTAAGTGAATAACCTCCTAAATTTTTGTACCCAAGCAGGAAGATCTAAACAAGTCATGTTGAGAATTATACTATTAAAAAACTGTACCAGAAAAACATTCTTTGGTGACTACTGGCACTGCATGTCAGTCAGATGAATTGGGAAAGATTTATCAAGGCAGGAGCACCATAAATAATGCACACATGTAACTCAAACTTGAACTTACAATGCACATGTAACTCAAACATGAACTCATTTGTCAAGGAAGCTATGATACTTTTTGTGATTCCTGCATCTAATTGCCTCATTTACACACTTTTTGTGAACTTCAACAACACTTTATCTTAGCAGTTATAGTATTTTTCCAAACAGGAGCATATGTTGTAGACACGGTATGACTTTCTTTGATGCAATATGGTTGTAAGATCTCAATGGCCCAAATGATTGTTAGTATTCAGTACAGCTGAAATCCTAAGGAAGTTTTATGTTCGCAATCTTTGTTCATGTAATATTTCATTAATAGATCTAAATCCGCATGTACAGAGACACTTCTGATTGTAAATAAACGTATAGTTATAGTTTTTTAGACCCAATCATTTGAATGAAGTATTTTCCCATCATATCTGACCTTTCCTCAAATGTTCCTGGGGTCTCCTCTAACTGTCTGTGAAGGTTCTCATTCATCCAGGTCACGGTATATCTGTAAAAAATCAGTCAAGGCAACTGGACTTGCTGTATTTTTCTTGAAGATGTTTCACTGGACATCCGACCAGTTTTCTCAATTCAGAATGACTTCTCTGGGAATAAATATGGTGAATGTTGTTTGAACCCACATAATCTGTTAGTCACAACCAGGTGTTGGTCGCATTTGCATAATTAGAGTCTAGGGGGTGTTAAAACAGCATTGTATGTGGCAGACAATAGATGTCTAAACTCTATGCAAGCTTGGTTTCTCCTTTTACATAAATTGCCTCTTTCAAACCTCTTTTGAACCAGTCCTCCTCCCTGTCTAGGATGCGTACTTGACTGTCTTCAAAGGAGTGACCACCTTCACGGGAATTACACCCAGTCATTGGTTCAGATATGTGGACGACACTTGAGTTAAGGCCCCATTCACATGTAGCGACATACCTTTTGCAGCGGCCGGGATAGCGCGACTTTCGGTGCGACGTTCCAGCGACGGTAGCGCGACCTTCTCTGTCGGGCTCCATAGAAAAAAGCAAAATCGCGCAAAATCCGCCGAAAAAAGGGTCCTGTAGAAGCGATTTGCGACGAGCGACATGGAGCTAAGACAGCTCCATTGACTATCATTAGCCGGCGACTTCTCGCGATATCGTGCTGCAAAAATGCGCGATATCGCGGTGGAAATCGTGCGATAAGTCGCTACATGTGAACGGGGCCTTAGATTCACAAACAAGAGTTACAGGCTTTCAGTGACCATATCAACTCAGTTGATCATAACATCAAGTTTACGCAAGAAGATATGCAAAACAACAAACTGGCTTTCTTGGACTGTTTGTCCAGTTGCCTTGACTTATCTCCTGTGATTGTACTGTATGAAACGTTTTTCCATACCAAAAAAAAACATGAAATATAATCAGTGAAAGTGTGAGGACAGAAATATGGAAGCTTCCATTGCTGAACTTCTATGTAAATGTGTAGGCTTAGTGGTGGCTGTTCTGATTCTGGCAATATTCATGACCCAAATGCGTGTAGTGCTGGGTAAATCTCAGAACTGAATGGACAGGAATACAAATTATTTGGTAGATAAAACGGCTCCCTGTTTATCTACCTAGAGTTTAGCTTGAAGTTTGATAAACCCAAACGTTTCTGACTTGTTACAGGTAAGTGACGTCTTAGGTAGTGAAATCAGAACCCATATTTCTGTTCTAACAGGTTCCCTTTAAGCAGAACTGCACGCTTGATGTATCATTTAATCACATGCTCTCTTTTGCTGTATGTTTCAGAGCTGATAACTTGAAATAAAATGTTGACTAATGGCCACTGTTTCTCCTTTTCCTACAGGTGTATGCTTCAGAATGGTAAGATTTCCTATGATTTGGCGGTTTATAAATGACTGATATATATAGTGATTCTACCAGTAGGGATGAGCCGAACACCCCCGTGTTCGGTTCTAATTCAAACTTTCGAACATGGAAAAAGTTAGAGGTCAGGTGCCAGACTGTAGCCAATTACAGTTTCGGAGGGCGCAGTGCATTGTGGGATGTTCCGCGGTCGAACAGACCGCGAACATCCCGCAATGTTCGGTGTCCAGCGAACGCTAGAACAGGCTATGTTCGAGTCGAACCTATGTTCGATTCGAACATGCAGCCCATCACTATATACCAGAGCATTTTGAATTCATAACCAGACCATACAATGTTGTTTCTGTTTGGGCTGACAACTGGGAAATGTTCTACAATATTCTTCTTAATACAATACAGTGTGGACATTGGTGGACTCAGGTAAAAATTAGGGATGTACCAATACTGGTTTTTCGTTATCAAGTACGAGTACCAATATTTATTTTTCGGTACTCACCGATACTGAGCAATGATACCAGTACTCCCGCTAGCATGAAGCCTGGCTTCCCGGGCAATCAGGAAGCTGTACCGATCGGCACCAATACCAATACTATTATCGGTATCAGGGCATCCCTAGTAAAAAGTCTCATTTATACTCAGTACTTTGATTAAACATATACTAAGAAATGAAAGTTTTGGTTAGGTGTTTATTATTAAAGGAGAACTATGAGGTGAGTGAAAATCACTCACCTCATAGTTCTAGCCGACCTGTGACAATGAAACTGTCACCGGTCGGCTCAATAGATCGGGAAGTGAGCAAATACATACCGTCGCTCGCTCAATTCTCGATTCTGTCCCTGCAGTGAGTGGTGACTGTCACTCACGGCTCCCTGCAGGGATTCCCCTGTCCGATCCTCCAGCGCTGACTGGCGAAACGGACGGGGCTCTCACTCTCACTCACGCAGCTGGGTGGATCCAGACAGTAATGTCGGGATCCGTCCCGGCTGCGGCGTCTCAGTATAGCGCACGCCGTAGCTCGCGGTATACTGAGCTTTGTGTGGCGGGAGGACGCTAATTTGTGTCCTCATGTTACGCTTAGGAGAACTATGGGGAAAAGCCCTGACCCCATAGTTCTCCTTTAAGTCAATAAATGTATTTTTAAATGCAACAAGTGTAACATAAACATGACTTGGGATTAACCTCTTAAAATACCCTATAAAGCAGAGTGGGAGAGGGAGGGGTAGAACTGGATGCCAATTGAGCAGAGAGATGAACTTATCAGTCTGCTGCTACTCTTTCACTATCCAGTCAGCAGGGTAAGGTGGGGGATACCTCACCCGTGTATTCCTTCTACAATCTAAAACAGTAAAAGTGGTGTCCTCTTGCCACCTGGCTGTGCTGTATGATGGGACATCATTCGTTTGGTAGGTAAAATAGATCATTCCTATGTATTGTATCTGTGTTTTAGCGGTTTTCCTGGAATCCATCTTTTTTTGTCTATAGTTACCATCACATATCTTTATTTCATGTAGTATACAGAAGATGAAGCCAAGAAGGTTGGAGTGGTTGGATGGGTGAAGAATACAAGGCAGGGGACTGTAGCGGGCCAGGTACAGGGTCTTGAAGACAAAGTCAGCTCCATGTAAGTGTCCATAGATTTCAATATACAGTATAAAAAAACCTTCCACAACCGAATTTAAATTATAGTTATCCATCACCATCTAATGAGAGATTATGATTAGAGGAGATTATGTTTATTGCTGTTTGTAGCCGATTTATTGAGATTTGAATACTAACCAGCTCTTTTCACTTCTGTTCTTACATTTTGCTCAAAACAGAAGTCAAGGAAGCACATGTCACCCACCCTTCTCTGAGCACTTGCCTCTAGGTTTAAAGTGTATTTCTACTTTTGCAGCCGAATTGGGATAGCACCTGCTTTTATATTTGTTACATGCTCCCAATCACATAGAATATCATAATAAAAAAACAAAAGTTGCAGCTTAAGGGCCCATTCACACCAATTGCAGAGCAGGAGCCGCTGGAACGCACAGCAATCGCTGACAAAACTCCCCCCTTTGTTTTGGGGCGGGAGGGGGCATGGTGGTGCATTTAAGTCAATGACACTGCAGCCAACAGTGCAATCTGACGCGTGGCAAAACATTGCGTTCCGGTCCACTGCAAATGCAGAAAATAGAGCATGCAGCATTTGCAGTGGACCGGAACGCAGGCAATGTTATGTGAAGATCTAATAGCAGCACAAGGATGCAGTCTGCATCCCACATTGTTCCTCTAGTCTCTATGAAAACCTGTGGAAACATTATTTGGGGGGGAAAAAATTACACCAGTGATTGTGGTGACATTATAAGTGCTACATTTGTAGGGCCTTTGGAATTTAGGGGATTATTTATTCCAAATGTTGGTTGGCAAGTTGCTAGGACCTGTAATTTAGACCAGGGCACTATTCTCTTCTAGGGAGGTTGAGAAGTGGGAGTCATTCTTCATGATAACTGTACTGTGCTCCTTGTTTGAGTACCTTCTTTAATTTTCACATGACTAACATAAGTCTCCATTTTCCTTTCCTGTCTGATCCCAGTTGCATATTATAAACCATAATAGAGCATATGATTGTATGTGAGCAGTACATGAATAAGGGAACTCAAAAACGGTTCTCATGCAGGAGCTCTTTGGTGACTTTGTCTATGACTGGTGGGAGCTTGGTCTAGGACCATTCCTACTGGTTGAACTGATTTCATATCCCTTCAAAAATATTGTCCTGAAAAATAGTGGTTGTTTTGGCTGCAACTGGTCTTCATCTGGACCTGCAGTAAAGTTCTGTAATATATACCCTGATGGTAGCGCACAAAGAACAGTTTGAGTATGTATTCCCAGACTAGATTTCTGTTTGGATAAAAAAAATGATTGCAAGAAAGGATTACATAACTGAAATAATATTAGTGTTACAGATGACTTTTTAATGTAGTCCTTCATTTGGCCAGCTGTTGGAGGCTCTAGCATTTCTAATTAGCACTGACATTCTTGATTAAGCACAAAGTATCAGCCTACATGTCTTATAAAAGACATTCCAGAACCGTAAAAACATTTCATGAAACCAGTCAGCGGAACGTCAGATGTCGTGACAAGTATAAAAGTTTACAGTTAGCACCGCAGCATCAGATTCAAATAAAAAGTTTAAAGGATAACTCCAGTCCAAACATTTAGAGAAGGGTTAGGTTTTTATTGCTGGAACCATTGGCCAATAAGGCTGCTTCTCACAATGAACATTAGTGAGGTACAGGAAAATCTGCATTAACATTCCATTGCCAGATTCTATTATTAGAAATGATTACAGGCACACTTTGTTTTGTCATTGATGTCTCGCTCTTACAATTGGATATGACCCAGTCATTTCTTTTTGTAATGGCTGCAGCTGTTAGGTCCAAGTGGGAATTCCTCCTTACCCTTGTGTCCCTGAAAGACACAAAGAGCCAGAATGCAACTAATCCACAACTAAGTATACTTTTTAATGCAAGTGGTGGAAGTACCTGAATTTGAATTGATATTAGCTCTTGCAGTCTACGGTACAGCATGTACTGCTTCTTCTACTGTCCAGTCACAGGGAAAGAGGGGGAGAGGACCTGTAAGTGAAAGTAAAACTGCAGCAGAAAAAGATCAGGTCCCCTCCCCAGCTAGACAGGGCTGTGCTGTGGCGCAGAGCTGTGTCAATTTTGAGACTGAATGGAGAGAAATTATTTGGTTGGTGAAACAGCCCTTAGGGCCCATTCACACCAGTGCAGTGCGTTAATCGCATGGTTCTGTGTGATTAATGAATTCTACAGCGCAACGCACCTACTGTGTGTTGCAGTGCAGAAGGTGCATTGCGTTGACATTCATTTAAATGCTACCCTAAACACACCACCGGCTGCAATAAGTTTGTCTGTACCGCAACACGTGATACCGCGCGAAACCGCAATACCATATATTGCGGCTAAAAAAAGGAGTGCATGCACGCCAAAGGTGCGTTTGGGGTGCCATTCAAATGAATGGCAACACAATGCACCTCCCGCACTGTCACGCACAGTAGGTGCATTGCATGTTAGCATTCGTTAATCGTACAGAACCGTGCAATTAATGCACCACACTGGTGGGAATAGCCCCTTATGTGTGTATTTAATTGTTCACCTTTAAATAAAAGAAAGTAATGGTAGACAAAATGGTTAATAGTGTGAGCCAGGCAGGAAGCAGTATAGCACAGTAAAGCAAAGCTGAGGATGAGAAAATCATAATCTAACAGCCGGACTCCCTAACTGGTAAGCGACAAGTGTTGAATCTGTAGTGCAGATGTTTCTTTTCCTTTCCTAGCGTGCTCTGCTTTGTTTCCCTGACATAACATACACCCTTATTTTGACAACGCCATAGCTGCCCACTGCCTGAGTGCACACAGGCTGCTATAATGTTGTTCTATCTCCAGGAGGGCCCTTACGTTGTAATTGGTTACACATTTGCCGTTCAACTCTAGTATTGCCGCTGACTGTGGAAACGCGTCAGTAATAGTCAGTGTGGGATCATTTCCTAAATTATGCTGAGATGGTATATAGTATATATTATGCATGATAGAATTTGTGGCATCCTCGCGTCTCCAAGCCTGATTATATTTTAGAGAATGGTGGCTCTGTACAGTGCTTACCTGTGTTCAAGCAGAACTACAACCAGACGGCCAAGTACACAGATTACCTAGTTGAAGCTGGTGTTGCTGCAAGCCGTGTAAAAAGATCCCATATTCAGATTCACGGGTAGCTGTCCCATATCAGGAAAGTAGAATAAAGCTGGAATGTAATCGGTTTATATTTTGTCTTCCTTGACCCCCCCCCTCCCTCCGGCCAACATACAATTTTCAATACATACCTAATATGAGATCCACTGATGTCATCAATAGGTCTTTATGCAAAGCAGACAGATCATGGCTGGTGGGAGAGGTCAGCATAGCTTTCTATAAACATCACGCACCCTCCCCTCCAGTGCTCATCTTAAAGTGGACCTTTACCCTCTTTCGCTAAAAATCACATTAGCATGCAGCTCTGCATGCTGATATGAGATAATCTTACATTCATTAGTTAAACATATTTTTATTTTACTTACAATTTCTTTTTTTCTACTTCCTGGTCCACTTGGGTACAAATGATGTAATGTGCCCAAGCATTGCATCTTGGGAAGGTTACATCAGCAGAGCATTGCTGGGAAATCTCATCCGTAATCTCAGGAGATCCCAGGGAAAGGCATTTTCCTTCCTTGAGATGAGGTGCATGGTCACATGTCCTAGTCACATGTGCCAGAGGGCCAGGAAGTAAAGGGAGATCTAGTAATCTGCCCTTAGTAAACATGGCCACTGTTAGAAGACTGGGGAAGAAAAGAGAAATAAGATATGCAAAGAATAAAAATCCTGCAATTATCTATAAGTATCTGTTTGTAGATTGTCATTACTAATCATTTGTAAAGGTGCCTTTGTTGTTATTTTGAAGATATGGGTAAAGTTCCTCTCTAAGACTCCTCAGGCCTGATGCAAGCAGGTGGCTGGTTCTTTGGAAAAGTTATTCAAATATCCAAATACCCTTATAGGTGGATGTCAGTCTGGAGTCTGCAAACTGTCCTAGGTAATGCCCACATGATGCAGAGTCTCCATTATTGAAAGAACTTACATCCAATGAATGAAAAGGTGCACCAGGGACAGTCAGGCTGAAAAGGAAATGGGTAGATGGCGCTGGATGGCCTCCAGCCAGGTAATATGGCGGGCTCTATCTGAATTGCTGAAGCTGCTAATGCATATTGTGAGAAGCTCACAGTATTCAGTGAAATCAGAGTAATCGAATTTAGTACAGGAGAGGAACCTGTACAACTGTGTAAGGTTGAAGAAAAGGCTGAATGCCAAGCAGACAACATGTTGTGTCTTGTAGCGCTTCCTAGTTTTGATGTAAAAACAATGGCACATGTTTTGGAACTAAAGAGGTGATGCACACAGTATATATAATGTCAAGTATGCTATATAAAGCCCTAGCTGGGGGTTCAGCAGGGTCAGCCAGGTATTAATATATCTCCAGCCCTGTTGATTGTTCTCTTTAAGACCTGCTTACCAGTATTCCTGTTTATATACAAGCTGAACCTCTAGGTCCTTATAATCTCACAAGTAATACTATACCCAAGATGGGGGTCTGTCCAGCTCCTGCTCTTTGCAGAACACTGTCTTGCCAGTGCAGCCAGCTGTGGATCTCATCAGCATCAGCAGATGTTTGTGCAGCTGTACAGATATCGTCCATTGTAATGTGATAGTCCAATGCGAATAACAAAGTACGCCTAAGGGTGAGTCTCCAAACACAGCTCCTCTCAGTCATCACTTGCTGGAAATATGAAGGAATATACTGGAGGATGCATCCCAGCTTGAAATACAGAGCAATAAAAATGTACCTTACGCAACTAAAGGTTTTCCTTACTTCCTATCTGGATTATGAAAATGATACATTTATGCTTATTGAAGACTACCTGCTCAGTGGCTTTAAAGAAGAACTATGAGATGAGTGATTTCCACTCACCTCATAGTTCTAATTCGAAGAGCTTTATTGAATTGTAAAGAGATAAAGCAAGGTACAGTTA